AAAACTGGTACTTCCTCTAAAAGTAAAGCTGAACACTTAGTAATGGGAACCCTGGGATTTGATTTATTAGAATAACTTATTCTTCCTGTGCTATATTCTTTTGCAATAGTCATTACTTAATGAAAACAATTTTTTAACATGAAATTTCATGGCGTAGTAGCAAAGGACCAAGGTGGGGGGGCTATGTCTTTCAACAGAGCCAGTACCTTTGACGTTGGCGTTAACGTAAGACAGCAGATTGAGCTGCCCGGGATTCTCAAGCAGGGTCCGGGCTGCTCCTTCCAGTCCCAGCTGCTTTGCTCTCTGGGCTTTCGTGCCTTTGCTCCCAGTTTTATACGGGGCAGACTAAACGAAAAGATCAGAAAACAGACCACATCATGCACTTTTTAAAAGCAAATGCTACAATTAGAGGAGAGGATATGCTACAAATGCTTAAGCATCCTGTCTCAACCACATACCTCTTCAGAAATCCATTCACTGCTACGTTGGTAGTCACCTTCTAACAGATAACATGCTAACGAGATTTCTAAAAATGTTTTGAAAATGATGATGGCAACAAATGTACTTGACATGATGTATGTATAGACTGTGATAAGAGCTATATACGCTTTTGTTTTTGAAATGATTAAAAACAAAACAAAAAGTACTTGCTGTACGAAGATGGGTATTCCTAATTTTAAGCATACAGAAAAAGTATAAAGAATAACTTAAAATATAGTAACCTAATTTTATTTTTCTATACACTTATAAGTAATTATTTGTTTGGTCTCACTCATCTTAAAAACCCACTGCTGGGTCATTCCTCTCTCAACCAAGCTCATCTAAAAGCAGTCACCACACCCTCCACTTAACACGCAGTCACTCCTCCACTCACCACCATCTATTCCACATACATGGGCGAAAGTGGTATCACAAAAATCCACAATGATCCCTGCAGTGCAGTGAATTTTCTAGCACAGCTCTTCTATAACATATGCTACTCCCACCAAATGGCCTTTGCTGATGGGTTTGTCTACGGGAAGGATTCAGCTGCGAGTATTTCCCTGCATTTCCCACTTGTGTAAGCTATTCTTCTTCCCCCATGCAAATGGAAATTCCTTGAGAACAAGTATTTGCATAAACCCAAATGCTTAGCACAAAGGGGGCACACAATAGAGATGCATGTAATAAAAAATTGTATTAGATTAATTATGGCTGACAAATTTTGCTTATTATCCAGCCTTTAACTGCAAAAAGACTCAAATTATAACATATTCAGGTATTACATTAAAAAATAAATAGGGTTCCTTACCACATGTTCTAATTCTTCAAAACTTCTGCAGTTCAGCAAGGCTCTTAACAAGCAGTCAGACATCTTTCCATCCTTTTTAATTTTCTGAATTGTACTATGAACCTTTTTTGCAATGGCCCTGAAAAGAAAGTTGTATAATATATAAGCTTTATACATCACAACATTCTTTTTGAAACAACCTCAATTTTACATAAAAACTGCAGGTAAAAGATTTTTTTTCTTCTAAACATCCCCTCCCCCCGAACTTCAGTGTGTATTTCCTATAAACAAGAATATTATCTTACATAGCAGCAATATAACCACCAAAACCAGGTAGTTAGCATTGACACTTTAATACCATCTAATCTTCAGTTCTCAGTCAAGTTTCATCAGTTCTCCCAAGAATGTCCTTTTATAGTGGATTCCGTCCAGAATCACAGGCTGTGCACTCAGTTGCCATGAGTCAATAGTCTCTTTCATGCTGAAATACTGTTTCAATCTCCCCTTAATTATCAAAATCGGTTACTTTTTAATATTACAGGTTACTTATTCTATAGAGTGTCCTATCTTTTGAGTTTATCTGGGGCACGAGTACTATGGATTTGAAGCCATGGTGTTCTCACTGCTGCTTGGGTGGTATAATAAGGTAGATTCCAATCCTTGAGACCCCATGTGCAGAGTGTAACTGCTCCACGTTTCAGCCCCACATTATCAGGCCTGTCTTCCCAGGTGCTTCTGGGTGGGTTCCAACTATGAATCTTACAGATAGCAGTCAAGCACTTAACTCTTGATGCCACTCAGTCATCCAGGAAGCATATTAGGCTTGTTGTGAAGATAAGCTTCAGGACTTTTAAGAGTGCCTTGGTGGTCAGGTTATAACCCACATCAATCAAATCCATTGCAGGCTTGATGAACATACACATTAGCATCACAGTGCCTGGCATGTAGAAGGTAGACAATAATGCATGAATTATGAACAGGGATATCACAGATCTGCTGAATGACATGGTTAGAATCCTATTGTCTTTATAGTCTGCGTGTGCACGTTTCTGAGTTATTACAATAAGTTCAGAGATAGGAATTTTTAAAGCTACGGAAAAACATACAAACGTAGAACTGAATTTATAATTAATTACAATGCCTTTCAAAAGAATGGGGGGGGGGGATCTACGTATTTTCTCTCAGAGAACTCTCCACTTAAAGAGGCCTTAAGAGGACAATTTTATGGGAGTTGTTGAAGATGTGAACTATAATTTGCTTTTCTGGTAATCGTTTCTATCAAGGACCAGGACAAACTTGGAGGCTCGCACCTTGACTACAAAGTACCATCTTGCTGATAAATGCCCAAACTATGCATAAACACAGCAGCAGAGGGGCTCAGTACACATGGAAGTATGCACTTCCCTGTGTGAAGACATTTATATCCGGATAACAACTCTAGGAAATAAAGCATTGGACCTATCAAAATATACTTCTTCACCACTTCTCCACACAGGCTCCAAACTCTCTTTCCCATTACTCCCTTTCCAAGGTTCTTACCGCAGCTCTTCTAGAGTTTGTTGAACTTCTCGTAAGGAATCAGCATCAAGGTTATTAATGAGCTCTCTTCGATAACGTACAATGAAGGGAATAGTGTTATCATCATTAAAAAGACGAATAATGTTGGCACAAACCCAAACTTCAATATTAGTTCTCGCAGATAAGACCTGCAAATTTAAAGATACTTAGTGATTTAAGAGCCTCAAAATCAAGCATCTATGTTATCATGTGTGGTTTGCAATAGAGAATCAAGTTAGGTCCTCCAGTCACCTAGAAATTACAACTTCTTCCCATTTATCATCTCCTCATACATCCCATTTTATAACAAAATCTACCACCCAGTTATTTATGCATGAAGGCCATATGTCGGCAATAACGAATGCCACATTGTGAGACAAAGGTAACACCAATTGGTTGTG